GGGGTGGCGGTCCGCCGTAGAAGTTGTTTTGGGGAGGGTAGGGAGGTTGGAACCCTCCATTCGAAGGTTGTTGTGGTTGTTGAAGATCTCTAGGTCGAGCCTTGTTATGCTGGTCAGCTTCGTTTCATAGCAAATAAGGGTTTGAAAAAAAAAAGTGAAGAAAATTGTCCCAATATCAGAAGGAAGGCAACGGAAATCTCGACATTGTTTTTTGCGCTTTCCGACATGACAAATTTTTACATCCGCAAATATTTCATCATAATGGACTAGGAGAGGAACTCAATGCGATGTACTGTACTTACTCCTACGATAGCTGGGTCATCTGGCATGGCGGGAGGTTTTGTCTCCTTGATACCAGGATGTTCTTCGATTCGCAGATCCTTCACGTCACTGCCACGAAACACAATGTACTCATACACTTGATCAGACGGGGTAATCTCCTCCTCGGGTCTTCCCCTTCGGCCCTCGGTGCCAAAAGAACGAACATTCTCGAGGGATACCGTAGACTCGTCCGAGTTGATTTCATGTAGAGTTCCGACATAGCTGCAGTATGGGTCAGCGGGTCAAGTCGCAATAAGCCAATGGCCAGGCTTTGAGAACTTACCGAATGTCACTCTTGGATATCAGTGAGATGCGAGAGCTGGGATACAGTCAGATGAGGTACGGTGGTCAAGACGCAAATTTTGCTCCGGCGTACCCTAAGAATTCAGACATGGCTGCAAAACCGCCACGTTAAGCACGTAGCAAGCTCCGGAGAGGGGGTGGGAAAGAGAAATTGCAGATGATAGTCGTGAATTGTCTGCAGTACAATGTACTGAGAGCTAGAGGGAAAGAGAGTCGACGCTTGGAGAGGGAGGCGCGCGACGACGTGACGCAGTAGGCTTGTGGAGTTGAGGGAAGATGGTTTGTGCAGAGAAAGGTTTGTGTGGTAAATTCCGCCTCGCGAAGAGGTTGGGAGCTCCCCGGCAAAGCCCGTGGTCGGTTGTACAGCGGAAATTGTTCGGCAAAGCCCCACACAGAGGATAGAGCACCGGCTATGTACGTTTGTACAGCAATGTGCCACCTTGCACTTTGTAAAGTTCAGCTACCCTAGGTTGGTTTACTTTGATTCACTTTTTGCTTGCCTCGCCTAACTACCCAGGTAGCTACTGTTGCCAAAGGCTTGTGTTCGTGTAGTGGATGGAATGGATGTTGCCTCCTACTTTTTACCGTAATCATCGGAGGGCTTTAGCATTATGCTGCTTGATAGCAGGGCTGTCATAGCGGTACGATTTTGGGTCGGCTAGGTGGAAGCCGCAGATGACGGGGCAACTACTCTCTGTATTGTATCAAAGTCTAGCTCATATCACACCAAAGCGGCCAATACCACGGGGATAACCACTACTGTTCCACAAACAAAAAGGGGTTCCGTTACGTGAACAACAAACAGGCAAAGCCATCGTCGCCTTATGCATGACCTGAACTCCAAACTGCTAAAACACAAATCACCTGAACTTGCTGATAATGACTGCGATAATCAAAAGCACGAGAACAGTGATAATGGCAATTGTAATTATCTTATTCGTAGCCATCCTGGAAACCTCGTTGTTAGCTCTGATGCACACTATACGTTCAGGCACGGGCTCACAAGAAATCTCCATTACCTACGAGCCATCCCCCGCAACGTCTTTACACTCCTGTCGACGTAGCCTTCACTATTCAGCAAGGTCTCATGCGTCTGCTGAATTCTCTCGCGCTGAGATGACAGGTCGGCTAGTGTGCTAGCTCCGATGGCCTCTGTTTCGTACGCCAATTGTTGACTAGCCTTTAGCCTCTGGGTGCTTCGATCGAGACGATCCGTGCCGGAGAGTAACTGCTGGCGCTGCTCAAGATGAGCATCTGCTGAGCCTTCAGGCTCATCTCTGTATCGTGATGAATATCCTTGGTGATCATTAGAGAAAGACTTCAGCTTCCGGCGCTGGGAGTCGACATCTAGCTCGTAGTTGCGGAATCGTTGGTTGACCTTGGCTCGTGAGGCTGTTGGGATGTTTTGTTTCTCTAGACGCATATATCCCAGCTATGATATGGTTAGATTCTGTCTCGTTTGGAGGAAAAAAAAAAAACAGGCTACAGCGGACAAACGAACAATCTCCTCTGCTTCCTCTAACGCTCGCTCGGCTTGAGACACTGCAGTTTTGCGGGGATCCCCTGACAACTCTGGGATTTGATCCAGTTTCTGTACAATATCGGCCTGTACAAGCTTTAGCTCTGCTTCGTAGGAGCTGAACAGCTCAGAGCCAGCCTCGGTATCGAGAGGGTTAGACATGTTGGCGGATGTGCTTTGAACGGCAAGGCGAATATGAGAGGCAAGCAAAAAGACCGAAATGCAGAGAGCAAAGGGAATGTCGGACCGAAGCGAAAAATAGAGAAAAGTCTATTAGTTACTACGGGCGTTGATTCCAGTAGTTTGAAGAAAAGAGGTTGTTGTCGTCGGTCGCATCCTTCGTCGTCGTCAGCTAAGCAAGAAACCTCCGATCATCGATGTCACAGGCATCTCTTTCATGACCAGCCACACAGGTCAACCGTTCACGTGAGGCGCCGCATCGGGCGTGGTCCGTGCACTTGCTGGCCAGGCTTTAATTGGCGCTGCAGTTCAAGCCGATTTATCCTCTTTGCTTCCTTTCTCTTCTTCTAAGTTGATTCCCCCGGGATGAAGAAAATAGGCTGAGCGCCTTGACTTTTGTCACAATGGCGCGCAGTTGTATTAACCGGGCAGACTGATGTAGGATAATATTTATATTTTTCTTGCACGGCGCTTCTAAAGAATTGGCGACTCGTACCGACGTTGGCCGATCCCGTTGAGTGCTCGACATGCTATCTCCGCCGTGTGTAAGGTCGTGAAGCTGTGTGTGACTGTGGCTCAGCCAAGCGGCCTGGTGTCAGCCCAGGGGGGTTGCGCGACCGTGCCTTGCCCAAACTGTAACACACTCCAGATATCCTTTCAATGTTATTGAAACGACTAGACATGTTTGTTGGGGTTTGGGGTCAATCGGCGCTGGTGTCTGGGCAAAGCGAGGCTGGGCCAACGTGCACGGGCGTGTGGGCATGTGTCCAGGTGGGCTTTCTGGCTCCATGTCGGCCGGCTTGGATCGACGTTGAGTGTTGACGTTGAGCGTTGAGACAAACAGACGGACGCTGGCTGCACCAAGCTGAACACTCCATGTCTGGACGCTGACTTCCTATTCAACATTGGGTCGATGCTCGACACTGCGCACGCACACTGCACATACTTACGGAGTAGTTGTGTGTGTAGATAAATGCAGCATACCGAACTCGGCAGGCGACAAAGGTCATGCGGATGCCCATGAGTCTATGACGGACTGTGAGCTGCCATTCTCTGCGTCAGGAAGTACTTAAATCCACATCCCCATTCCGCCTCAACAGAGTCGGTCGCATCCTCCTGCTCGTGCGTGTGCAAGTTCCATCTTTGTTATTCACCGATATTTTGTCTTATCCCCCCTCGCCCGGGTACGTCGTGATTTGGTTTTGGTTTTGGCCGCCATGGCACGGCCGCAACACACGTAAGTTCGCCTTCACCCGCCGGTATGTCTCATTCGAGTCCGTGTTTGAAGCAGAGCTCCCAACGTCGTCGAATCAGGCTCGGCCCTGCTATCATGCCGTGCTCTGGCTGCGGCAAGTTGCGCCACATGCTTCCCGTTCCCGTCCCCTCTCTGCCAGCCGTTTCCAAATGCGATTTGCATTCGGGCGCCTGTCAACTCTTTACTTTTCTCTCTCCCTCATTATCTTGAGCCGTGGTTCCTGTGACACAAGTCTTGTGAGCATGTGAATACGACCCTCCGCTGCGCCCGCGCCTGTCTCCTCTCAACCCTGCGCCGCAAAACACTTCCTCTCTGAGCTTCAACTGAAGGAATAGCTCTTGTTACTGCCTCTCATCTCTCCCCTCGACATACGACATGCCGTCCACCATGAGTCGCCGCGCTGACTTCTCGACCAGGAAGAAGGTAGCCATTGTTGGTAGTGGGTGTACGGGTATAGCTGCATTGTGGGCGCTGAATAGAACATATCATGATGTCTATCTTTATGAAGCTGCCGATCGACTGGGTGGCCATACCAACACTGTTCAATGGAAAGTGGGAAAGTATTCGACGGCAGTTGACACTGGATTCATTGTTTTGAACAGAGCAACCTATCGTAAGTGGCCGCGCACATACGTCTTTTCTCTCTCCTTTCCCCCGTGATACCATGTTTCTCGGATACTCATATTTGTTCAACGCACCAGCAAATTTCATCAATTTTCTCAAAAAGCTCAATATACCGGTTGACCGAACCGACATGACATTTGGTGTTTCACGAGACCAGGGACTGTTTGAGTGGGCGGGCACCAACCTCGGCACAATCTTTTGCCAGAAGAGAAACATCTTTTCATTGAAGATGTGGCGGATGATATTCGACATAATACGATTCAACCAGTTTGCGCTTGACGTCATCATCCACGCTGAGGATGAGCAACCGGTAAAAGAGACCGACAATGTACTGCATTCTGTTGGCAGGACGGAAACCATTGGCGAGTACCTTGACCGCGAGGGCTACTCAGACGCTTTCCGAGACGACTATTTGATACCTATGACGGCAGCCGTGTGGAGTACCAGTCCTGATAAGTGCAGTCTTGAATTCCCAATTCTGACACTTGTACGATTCTTGTAAGCACTCTGGTTATATGAATATGAATACACCTGGAATTGTGATCTGACAGATGTTGTATAGGTGGAACCATCATCTTCTTTCTACTCTTGCTGCCCGACCAGACTGGTTGACACTGAGGGAAGGATCACAATCATATATTGATGCGGTGATGAAAGGGTTTCCGCCCAACCATCTCTTTTTGAATACGGCCGTGAGACAACTCTCGAATGACGAAGATGGCCACGTCGTGCTGCACTTTGAAAATGGAAAAACAGACACTTTTGATCATGTAATCCTGGCCACTCATGGCGATCAGGCATTAGCCATCTTGGGACCGTCTGCGACCGATCAGGAACGTGCCATTCTATCTTGCTTCCAAACATCTCAGAATGAGGCCGTTTTGCATTCCGACCTGACACTCATGCCGAGGAACCGTAAGGCCTGGTCGAGTTGGAATTACCTCACCCTATCTTCCCCATCCAAAACCAACGTCGACCAAGTGTCTTTGACCTACAACATGAATATACTACAGCATATTCCCCGAGAGCCATTCGGCGACGTCCTCGTCACCTTGAACCCTCTTCATCGACCTCGCGCCGCCTTGACCAAGGCAAGATTCTTCTACTCTCATCCACTGTACACCCCGAAAGCCGTTCGAGCCCAAAAGTTTTTGCGACATATACAAAACAAACGGGGAATTAGTTACGCCGGAGCCTGGACCAAATATGGATTCCACGAAGATGGCTTCAGCAGCGGTCTGCATGTGGCACAAGAGCATCTTGGTGCCAAATTGCCATTTGAGTTTATAGATTCAACATATAGCCGGGGGAAGAAACCAAAGTTGGGCCTGGCGGACCATTTCGCACGTTTACTTATCCTACTCGTCCAAGTGTTCGTCGTTCAGATTCTGGAACGCCTCGCTGGAACAAGTAGACGTCCGGTAAAGCCAGTACTGAATGGAGTCAGACCGAGACGGGTTCTAGAAAAGCAGGCATAATTTACAACAGCATGATTTGTATTATTAATGATCACTATATGGCGGACGGCATAATTCACATTTTGGGGCGCAAAACTTGAGTTGGGTATTCCTGTTTGGGTGTCACGTTTTTTATATTTATTCGCTTCTAAAGGTCACCAATTGATGTAATATTGGTTTCAAGCTGATGGAAGCGAAGTATCATAGGCATATGTATGTCTTAACTTACCAAGAATTGACTACGCCATGTGCTAGTAGAAGCGGTGCTAGATGTAGGTTTCTTCATTGGTGCTAAATAACTAAGGGAGAATTCGCCCAACACGCGCAAGACGAGTACTTGAAATAGTGACTTTGATCAGAAGTACCACTCAAATCTTGAAGGAGATCCAGATCCCTGATCTAAATACCGTCGTTATTGATTTGTTACTCCCTACATGCAGCGGTACACGGCGTGGCCAGAATGGGCTGCCCCACCTCCAAGCCAACATCATGTCACCTCGGCCGAAAAGTAAAATCGTCTGGTCCGACCTCAACCGCCCTGAACATCTCCAGCTATACCTCGTACCCGATCCCCGCGAAACACAATGAATAGCGCACCGCGGCTGGCGCGCAGCTCTGCGCGTACCTCATCGCCACAATGGGCATGCTTCTTCTGTCGAAATACTCGGACTCAGCAGTCCCAATTGCAGTTACGCCTGCACAGCCTTCGTCGAAACGCATCGACCTCGAACCCGCGAGGAGCAGCGGCGCAACAGTCCCAGCAGGGAGCGCCATCTATGGAGCAGATCCGGGCTCACTACAACAGGAAGAACCAGACAGTGGCGTATGCCTGCCCCTATTTCTGCTGTCTGCAGAACAATTGAAGCTCATTGTCTTCCCGTCTAGCTACTACACTATCAGCTTGATTCTTGGCACAGTCGCCCTGTCATACGGATCCGTACCTCTGTACAAAATGGTACGTTTCGAATCCACAATCGTCACCAAGTAACCTCGAGAAAGGACACCGCTAAATGACTGACTCGTCGCAGATCTGCCAAACTACCGGCTGGGGCGGCCAGCCTGTCCGCGCCCACGGCGGCTCCTACGAGGGCGACATTTCTAGCCGCCTCGTGCCCATCACGTCCGCTAACCGAATAAAAGTCACCTTCAACGCCTCTGTATCTGACGAGCTCCCCTGGAAATTCGTCCCCCAGCAGCGCGAAGTCCGCGTCCTGCCCGGCGAGACCGCCCTGGCCTTCTACAAGGCCACGAACAAAGGCGACAAGGACATCATTGGCGTGGCGACGTACAGCGTTACGCCGGCGCAGTGTGCCCCGTATTTTAGCAAGATTCAGTGCTTCTGCTTCGAGGAGCAGAGGCTCAATGCCGGAGAGACTGTGGACATGCCTGTCTTCTTCTATTTGGACCCTGACCTGCTAAACGACTTGAATATGAAGGGTGTGGAAACGGTTACACTCAACTACACATTCTTCAGTAAGTTTGGTTGCAAGTCATGCGCTTTTGGTATGGCAGCTGCTGACATATTGCCTGCAGAAGCACGGTATGACAACAACGGTCGTTTCAAGGCTCCTGCTGTAGCTTGAGCAGCTGGCTGCCCTCTCACAATCCCAATGTTACGGAAATAGTAGAGTTCAGAAAGACGATTGTATAATAGAATGGAAAGAATGTAACACTGCACTGCATAGCCATGTACTTTTACATAGAAGAATTGCCCCATGTCCAGTATTAGGCTTATATAGTATCACTCAACACCATGCATGAATTTCGGTGTTCCACAGAGCCACTGGACGTTTAGAAATGCAAATTCCAGGCATCAACCTTCCCGTGAATGGGTTCGTTGACTAGGAGTCCGACATGACTATCAATTTCAATCTGAAGCAAAAGAGCTGGTCACATTGAAATGGAACCCAATCCAGTATAGCGCCGTTTCCCAGAATCTCAAAATTTCCCACCCGATGAGCTGACTCATCAAACTTGACTCCACACCTCACAGCATAGGGTAAAATTCCGTCACGTGGTCCCCACGTCGCTCGCCTAATTTTCAACCCACAAGGACATCTTTGAATTCTCTCGTGAGAATCTCTTTCCCTCCGTGCCCCGTTCTTCATCACCCAACGCCGAACCTCCTTCGTTGCTCCTCAACAACAACCGTCGCAATGGCCAAGGTCAGCAGCAGTAAGTACCAATTCGCCCCGTGTGCTAAGAATAATACGCTTTTGAAACAATACAGCAAAAAACATTGCAACTAATGCTCTATTCCCCAGCCGTTTCGTCCTCGCGACGCAAGAGCAGAGCCGCTCACTTCAAGGCTCCCTCCAGCCAGCGCCGTGTCATCATGAGCGCTCCCCTCAGCAAGGAGCTGCGTGAGAAGTACAACGTTCGTCTCCGACATTCTGAGCAATTGCCAAAAATCAGCCGCATCATATTAACAGCCCCTCCAGGTCCGCAGCATCCCTGTCCGCAAGGACGACGAGGTCACCATTGTCCGTGGTACCAACAAGGGCCGCGAGGGCAAGGTCACCTCCGTCTACCGTCTCAAATACGTCATCCACATCGAGCGTGTCACCCGCGACAAGGCCTCCGGCCAGTCCGTCCCCCTGGGCATCCACCCTTCCAACGTGGTCATCACCAAGCTCAAGCTCGACAAGGACCGCGAGGACATCCTGGCCCGCTCCAAGGTTGGCCGTGAGCTGCGTGCTAACAACAAGGTTTCTGCTTAAACGCACCTGACTTGTTGAATGCAAAAAGAAAAGAGAAGCTCAAATATACAACTGAAAACTTTTTGAGAAACGATCAACTATGAGACATTGACACAAATTTGGGAAATTTGAGGCAAACAAACGGGCATAATACTCCGGCGTTCTATTTTTTCATCGAGATGCCTGCTCTGGCAGGTCATGTCTACGACAGGGTAGATGAATTGAGAATTTCCTGGTTCTCAATGGCCATTTCACCAGTCTTGTGAAATGTTCCATGGGAGGCGTTTCCCGAAGTCATACTGCTTCTTGTCAAGTCTACCGTGATCGTGACTGATTGATTTTACCTCGAGAAGCTTCAGATTTGAAGCATGCTGGGTTATTCTACATGGAACAATTTGGCAACAGGTGGCCAGCTGTTTTTGTCCAACTGGGCTGTCCTAGTAGACTTGTAGGCTCCCTTTTCTTTCTGTGAAAAGGTTAGTATTGTAGTCCCCTCCCGCTAGGATATCTCCGCGTCAACCACTCAGCCCATGGTTTTCGAGGTATACGACTGGCGAAGAACAAACCAAGTAGGAGCATTTGTACTATCACCAGTCTCTTACTCTTGCCCGAAGATTTTCACCAAGGGTTTTGCTCTGTGAAGATGGAAATTTGATGGTAAGGCACATGCCGAAGATTGACTCGAGGTTAAACGCGGACCGACCACTCTAGACTCTACCCACGTAACATAATCATGCGACCATTGGGTTTCCATTACTTATGGCTTGAATAACGCAGTCTGTCGTCGAAAATAGGTGTTAAATATATAGCCGTGGTCTATTTTCTATCATTTCTTCACCTCGGTGGGCAAATAGCTAGTTCTATTCTACACAGAAGTTCATATGTGAACTGCATCTGTTGTATCTTATGTCTTGTAACCGTTTGGTGGTCTCCGAGCACAATATTGTTAGTGGCTTTGCCAAAAAGCATTGCTAAATGTACCATGTCCGAATGCAAAATAAGAAACCGCAACTCCTCTCTGCATGTCATTGCCACATTTCCTCAGCATATGCGCGTCTTTTTTTCTGAACGATACCACGGCGGTATCGGCCGCAGTAACGCAGCAGTTGGTTGCTGTGGGATGTTTAGAAATATATATCTATATCGTTGTCCGGCATCAAAGTCCAGATAGCTCGTCAAGCGCAGCGAAGTAAAAGGTTAGTCATACAACAGCCAACATTTGTGTTGGCGAGCTACTTATATAGTCTATAAGCATGAAAGCAATAAGTAATGCTCTTGCTACTGTTCTTGGCGATTTGAAATTTGACAATAGGTAGGGACTCGCATGCACGCCTTGGCGGCACGTTGACCGGAGAATTGTCAACCTTCAAGTTGTTTCTTTGCCCCCGGACACAAACAGTGGTCGATTCTCTACCTTGCTATGCCTGATGTTGGATGGGGTGTTGTCGTCACCTGGAGACAATTTGGAAGACGTCCCCTTTGGCGAGGTTGAGGCGTTAGCAATCGTAGGCGTAAGAGATGCGGTGGCATGACCGGCATAATTTGGTAATACACCCCGTGCCGTCATTGAAGAGACTGTGCCAGGAACGGCAGTGGCGCTGGACTTGCTTCGTTTCCACATGCTTTGCCAAATTTGATTTCGAGCTTTGCTTAACCTTTTGTTAGTGGATATAATGTAGATGCAGTTTGGAGCTCTCTCACCTGTTTGTCGCCATGCATTTTCGTCCCCGAAACAAGATGTTGGCGCCATCGTCCTCATCGGAAGACTTTTCCTTGCACCCATCCGCTGAATCATCAGCGTTTCCAACCAGGGCTTTTCGAAAATCACCGTAGCTACATCCAGCTTGCCCGCTGCTCGATGATGTGCCCTGATAGTCCCTATATTGATCCTCCAGCAGTTCGCCAGAGTTTGTCAAATTTTCAGACTGAGTTGCAGCTCCAAGAGCGCTGCGAGACAGGCGCTGAGTAGCTCTGCCAAGAGATCGAAACGGATCAACAGCGACCTTTGGCATCTTCGACATGGTATCAGTGCCCCCACGAGGAGGCGGAGGACCTTGCGTTGTAGGGGTTGATGCTGACGTTGGACTCTGGGACTTGACGGGAGAAGGGGGGTAGAAGTCCTTGCCATCAAACTTGGGTAGCCCCTTTTGGAGATGACGAGGTGCTTTGCCCCAGTACATATGGCGAGCTCGCAACTCATCTTCTGTGAGCTCACGGCTGTACAAATAACCGGTTGGGTTGCCTCTTTCAAGACTTCTGCCCTCAGGAAGTCTTCCAATTAAATATGGCTTTTCACTAAAGCTCTCTGAACTAGTAGAGTCTGCCGAATAGCCGTCCTTCATTCCTTGACTATAGCCCGTATCTTCGGCCGAGGAACCGGAAGATATGGGAGCAGGGAGCGGCACGGGAACCGAAGCAGTGCTATCTGCTCGAGGGTGGAATGGAGGTGCCAGTGCAGCACTTACGGGTAGAGTAGAAGGCTTTTTGGTAGGCTCACTTGATTCAGACGAATCTGGGGTAATCTTTGCAGAAACGGGAGCAGACGCAGACTTGACAGATTTCAAGGTGGAAGAACGCCGACAACTATACATATCATGAGTCTTCTGTAACTTTGCTGACGGCGCATGAATTGCAGCCGCTTGTGAGACGGATGACTGGCGGGAAGTACGGTCCGATCTGGCCTCGTTTGTCGCCGACGATGCTGTGTCCCCTTCATTATAATGGAGGACTGGGCTGCATGAGTCCTGTTGAATATCGGACTTTGGATACTGGGTTTTCTCCGCGTCAAGTTGAGATTTTAAGGTCTTCGCAAACTGCTGAATCTGTTCTCGAACCATTTCAGCTTGATTCTCCGTGCTCTTTTCGTCAATCTGATGTTTGTTGTACTGTAGCTGGTCTTCATAGTATCTAAGAGTAGATCTCAGACTCTCTATTTGCTTCTTAGTTATTTCACTGGGACGAATAGATGAAATTGGGACAGCCGAGTGTCCAGTCAGACTGGGAGCAGTTGACGAAGATGCCGCTTGAGCGTGCATCTGCATTGGCCGGTCCGGTTTCGCTTGCATAGGATGCATTGTAGCGCCCAGAGTGTACCTGGGTTGTATGATCGCAGGACCTCCAATACCTCCAACGGGAAAGCCTGGGAGAGGTGTCATCCCATAGTGATAGAATGGGCTGCCACTAGGGGGGACCCATTGCCCGTGGACATAATATGGTCTGCTAGGATCAAAGTTCTCAGGTGGCGAAATCCGGACTGAGTTTGAGCTTTCTGAGTTGGTGGAATCTCCCTGCCTGTCGCTTGTTCCGAGTGTTTCGGTGGACTTGGTTGTAGGCTTTACTGCCGGTGTTGGGGAGGCGGGGCCTTGGACCATGCCGAAGGAGCTACCCATGCCAAAGCCCATTTGCCAAGGGGCAAGGGGGTAGGGATGAGGAGCACCGTGAGGCAAGGCGGCAGGCATACCTGGGAAGAATCCAGGGAAAAGAGGGGGAAAGGCACCAAACGCTTGATGCGACAAGGCCGCGGGAATGGGATATGTAGGCACATCTCCGTGGCCATGGCTAGATGGACGATGGCTGTAAGCGCCCTCTCCTGCAACTTTTTCTCTTGTCCACTTGGCCGTTGGCGACGACGAACCTCGAGTATTGGGAACGATACGACCACCGGCTGTAACTCTAACGTGAGTTGGGGACACAACCGCCTTATAGAATCTCTGGAAGCCTTCGTCTTTCTGAGCGGCAAGTCCAGCCGGAGCCCCTATTGGGTGGTGCTCGCCATGTTCAGACTCTGTTCGGCCCCGATACTTCCATTCCGCATCGGTGCCATCAAGCTGGCGAACCGAAGACTCCTCAACGGCATGCTGGTCTGCATTTACGTTGTCTGCCTCCTCCTGAATCAGGGGAAGGGTTCGTTCGGGAGACATGCGAAATATTTCCCCTGAAAGTTCGAACATCAGTACAGAATCAGGACAAACGAGTCAAAAAGCAACATAGAGAAAGCCTGATCCTCACCGAAAGCAGCGTCGTGGTGCAGTTTTTGACACAGTTTGTCGTACAAGTTTTTACTTGCAGAGACTTGTCTCATTCGCAGCAACTCCCGAGCCGTGTAAGTCTTGGAGACCATCTTGACGTCAACAAAAGCAAAAAAGAAAAAAGAACGGTGCTGTTCTTGCGATTGCCAAATGAACAAGGTAGGAAATTTGTGTGCTGTGCCAAGTATCCGTATATTGGCTTGAATGAAAGTCAGAATGGGTGCGACCTGTGACCAGAGCTTGCCAGCGTCAGTGATTTGTTGTGCCTCTAACTGCGACCGAAGAAACCAAGATAGCTCATGAAAAGCAATAATATATGGCGATTGATCTAGTGGTTTTCCTAGATCCACAGTGACCTGTATGCAACGATGATAGTTGTGTAGCAAATTATACCGAATAAGGGGAGTGGCTGATGGACTCAATAGGTGGTCATGTTGTTGGGCAGCGTAGAGGCAACGAAGGATTCGTTTTGTCCTCCTTGACTTGGTTAAGACCATGTTGATTTCTCGTCACACAAGCCAAATGGGAAACGAAAAGTAAGTGGAGCAATGATAAACAGGCGTTGTGTATGTCCGCACGTTGCCAATGCAGAGAGTCGTAGTGTGATGCCCTGCTAGGGTTGACATGTGTGGAAAGTCGCTGACAGCGAGTTGTTGCCAGAGAAATTAGGAATAAGACACAGCCTTCAGACCAACCGATGACCGGAGAGGAAGAAAGACAAATATAATGGCCAGCATGACCCCAAAGACACTATGACAAACAAGTCTCGGATCCGGGAAACGAGAGGTTGCTAAACGGGTGGTATTGGAATGGGGGAGTTGGATCGAGGGACAGGTGCAGAGCGAAGGGAGAGATATGTGCAGCGAAAACGCAAAGAAAGAAGAACTCACGAAGCAGTTTGCCCAGAAAGCAGTCAGAGAGCAGTATGCATACACGGCCTCGATTGTTACACTCTCAGTCGAACGGACGGTTGGATAGAACCAAAGAAACACGAGGTGGACGAAACAGAGGGTTTTGTAGATACGACGAATGCAACGATGGCTTGTTCAGACGAGGAGAGTGAGCTTGAGAAGTAGAAATCGAGTCTGTATGATTGTTAGAATGTGTCTCGTAAGCGTGTTATCCACTGCAACATACCCAAGAGATACAAAGGAGAGTAAGAGCAGCCGTGTCAGCCGTCGCTGTTGCGATTTGGGACGACGAAGTTGGAAACATGAGAAGGTAGGTAAGGTAAGAGGAATTGAGCTGACTTGATGTATACAAAGCAGATTGTGGTGTTTGCAAAAGGGAAGGAAGGTCCTTCCCAAAAAAAAAAAACGAAGTATAGCACGAGGAATCAAAGTGGAAAGAGCGGCCTCAGATGGAGCGCGTAATGGGGGCCATGGTGCCGTAAGAACAAGAAAATACCTGAGGCATTCTACTTTATTATGGCCGAGTAGTGAGGAGAAAGGAAGGGAAAAAATAGTGCGGACAGCATCAGCAAGATCAAATGTTATTGCAGACAAGGTCGATGGAATTCCGGCATTGTTTCGGGATTGGCAAACTGCACCATCTGTCTTCATGACAGCTGTTGTTTGATGAAGGGGTGATTTTTCACAGCCGGCAAGTCAAATAATCGTTTAACAAGCAGAATGTCACAAAACGTTTTGGTCGTCATGATAGACATCGATTTTGGGGGAGGGTGGACAATGCATGGGGCTGACTGTACAACGACAATAGACAATAAGGGGGATTGTGCAGGACAATTATAAACCAACAATCGAAAGGCATACCATTGAAAAGTCTCTATATCAGATGGAGCTTGAGAAGAGATTCACCTAGGACAATTACAGAGCCATGTCCCAAGAATGGGTAATTCCTAGTTAAGATAGAGCGGAAACAATTTCACATGTTGAGTACTGAAAGTATCTCAATACATGTCTAGGTAGGTACCTAGGTAGTTGACTCCTTTGAAAAAAGATAGAAAAACAAATAAAAATATGAGCCATGATGAGCGTCTTCCGTGTGACAGAGTCTTTTGTGCTGGACAAGGTGGTGTCCGCATCCAGTCTACCTCGTAGTTATGCCATTGCTCCGTTGCTAATTGGCCAAGTACTTCTCAATCCATCCGAAAATTCAAAGCCATCGTCGAACCTTTACCTTCACGACAATAACGCATTCGAAAAACACATCACTTATTTTTGAATATGTCTTCATCAAGCCGACAATGCGAATATTGCTACGATTCGTCGGGTCCATCAGGTTCTGGGATGGGCGTGATTGGCTTTGGCCTCGGCGGAGGATCTGCCGCATCCCCTGACCAAGTCGACTGAAGCGGGGACAGGCGGTACATATTGGATGCTGTTGTGAATATCATGATCAGTTTTGTTAACTCATACTCCATATATAGTTTCGAGAATCGCATACGGTACCAAAGGGGTCGGTAACGCAGCGCGGAGTCAAAATTTTTCAACGCTCAGGGGAATGAGTCGAATGACCAAACCGTTGGATCAGAATGAGCTTCTACCCAAGAGGATATTGAACTAGCCTTAGCTATCAGCGTCGTCGGGCCTTGACAATGGCGGAAGCTGCTGAATTTATAAAGACGACTGTACTTGTCAACACCATGGCCGAAAAAATGGACCGGGTCATCGGGTCCGCAGTCATGAGATATTAGTTCCATTTTTCAGACTTACGCTCTGACAAAAACAAGCAAAACCCCAGATATCCCAGCCCAAAATGGCAAATCGAGGATTAAGAAGTTTTGGTGTGAATTGAGAAGGATGAAACAAACTGAGGCAACACACGCTTTCCACAAGTTCCATGACCGAAAAGGACCATGCACCCAGCCCATCTTCACCGTTTTCTGACAATGGATGGCTGTGGGCGATGATCTTGGCGACATTGGTGACACCAATGGCAGGTGAGTTTCGACAAATGTTCATACCTCGCATCCAGGGTGCATTGTGCACGCACCACGCTGCATATGTCGAGACAAATGTTTCAGTGGGGTGTAAAGGGTTAATATTCAACCTGGTTGTCGCGACCTATATCATGGTGTGACGTAGGGGTGTGTGCCGTAGTATAGTAGCGCATACTGGCGATTGGCGATGGACCTTTGCCACAAACTGTACTACACATTGGGTAATTGAAGCATTCTTCCGCCTTCCGCCGTCACCAAGGAGCCCGGTTTGACAGCATTGGAGACATCGACCTCTAGTACAGGACCATTTTCCGTGATTAAGGCTTTTTCCAGCTGGAGCTCGGACATCGAGGTTGACGCAGATGGAGCATGTCTCGTCTCATCTGCGCTACGGCGTTTTCTACATCAAGTTTCAACTGCCGCTAGGAGGCTCCCCTTTCTGCGGCAGATATGCCGTTTTAACTGTGGCACTCTGCGGGCTATTTCACGACAACCGCCCCCAACCGACAAGACTGGTCAAAGACCCCGAGGCGAGTTTTGAAACGGATGGATTATGCATACCTGCATGTGCGATCCATGATGGGTGTTTTCAGCGTCCGTAGGAAGGACGAGGAGACGGCGTATAGTCCTGGCGAAGCTTGAACGGTTCAAGAAAGGCGAGGTGTGCACTCCTGGACATGAAGTCTAGAACAAAGTAGCAGCCGGGATGCCGCCTTCATGATGACATGGTCTAAGTACTAGTTTCATGACGAGCGGGTCTTCCCGTTGACATGTGTCAAGTTGGAAGACGCATGGCCAGCGAGTTGGGAGGCCTTCAATCGTCACATGGTTTATGTTCTTGGTAGGTCGCCAACATGGGACAGAGACAAGATGAGGCCAGAGGAAGTGCAGCCCCTCTTCAAGCTCAAAGCCGCCACGAGGATTGCCGTGCCATTGAGGATTGAAACGCACCATTTCGCTGATTTTTCCTTGCTTGAGCATAGCCGCAGCGCAGGTTGCAGACAGAGCGGCCAGCATTTGATCCATCTCTTGTGCCTGGGCTGACCCCGCCTGCAAGCTAGGTCGACGTGCAGACGCAACACGACCCCAATCCTGCTTCTCCAAGACGCCCCTCTCTCTCTACAGCAAAAAGAGCCACCTAACCCATGCATCTGCCCACAATCACGGGCCGGTGCCTTGGAGAAGCTCTGCAATGCTCCGGCACAGGAAAAAAAAAAACACCAACCAAGCTCCTCTGAGCTGTCATGTCCCTGTCGTCGCCGCACATGCCGCCAGAGACAGCTTGGCCTGGTTTGCCTGCTGCCTGGGACCGTTAGACACGCGGCAATGCAGGCCTCGATGGCTGGGATCGGCGACATTGGTCCTCGGCAATCGGGACTGGGCTAATTGACGACACCTCTACGGAGTACCAAATCAAGAGAGACCAAAATAGGGAGAGCGCAAGAGGCGCCCCAGGAACAGAGGAAATTAATGAAAGCCGCGGCAGCCCTCTTAGCGTCGTCTTCCAATTTGACCTCAATGCCGATCCCGGGTCCCCGGGTATTCCAGAGCTTCGCGCAGCAAAAGACGGTGCCAGTTGCAAATAGACTTTCCGTCACGGCAACTGGTCTCTTATAAGTAAGTACTATCCCTCCCCTCCCCCGTCGACATTCGCCCATTCGAGCATCGCCAAACCAGACACGACCGACGCATCGAAACAGCACTCTGTACGAAAGGCCAATCAATCTGCCCTACAATACCACCCTCTTTTCCTCACCACATGCCAATCAAGCAAACAATGGCCCCTCTCACCCCGCACTGGCAGCAGCCCTCCCACCCTGAAGTTCAGGAAGTCGTCATTAACGATCAAGAGTTCACCACCAAGAGCTACTCCAAGGTGACACTCCCGCCGTTTGCTGTCTTTGCGAAGCTCTCCTTCCCGCCTTGCACTGTTGCCGACGAGCCGACGTACGCCACCGTGCAGATGGGCCGGCATAGCCATTTAAATCTGAACAGTGATTTGCTGTATATTAATCACTCTTGTGAACCGTCTCTTGTTAGTCGTCCCTGCTCTGGAGCTGTATTTGATGGCATGGATAATGGGTGCTCGACCCTGTCCGCGCTGGGGTGTGCACGGAGAGGTGTGACGCGCCCAAGTCAGGGGTAGAGAGTGAGGTGAATGACGTCAAAAAGCGTAGTAAAGACGTTGACTGGAATAGATATTCGACACTGGGAACATGAACGTCCTCGTCGGACCAAAGGGCCTCAAGCCTGGCGACGAACTCACTGTTAGTGGCCCCTTTCCAGCAGTCTCGCAGATCCCCCTGTTCCCTCCATCCAAAACATGGCACCCTGTAATTACATGACGGACTGAAACTTCAGTAGTTCTTCTACCCCTCCACAGAATGGGACATGGCTCAGCCATTCACCTGCCTCTGCGGCCATCCAACCTGCCGTGGCACCATCTCCGGTGCAAAGGACATGACGCCGCAACAGCTCCGTGGGGTGTGGCTCAACGGCCATATCCGTGATCTCCTTGACGATAAGCCCTGCTCCACTACCGGCGGTCATGAGTCTGATGCCACGGCTCGGGCGTTGAAGGAAGCTGTCCTGCAGGCCGAAAAGGTGGTCGAAGCAGCCCGTCTTGCGATGCGTACGTACGCGGGTGTTTCGCAGAAGAGCGGCATGGCCGCTATAAATAGCGCCAAGAAGGATGGTTTCGCGGCACGAGAGGGTATTGATGTGGCAGAGGGCTTGAGTAGACGCGGTCCAACGTCAAGGGAGTTGAGTGGCGAGATGGGTGGTGATACTGTTCGTGTATAAATGGACTGAGGGGTGGACGGACGCATGTCTGCCTGTTCTGTTCTGCGGTGACTCAACGTTTGTCGCTGGATAGAGAGGGGGTACACTTCTTGTTAGTGACAGTTCAACATTGTCACATATGCTATAGTTCTCCAAAAGTTCACATTTGCTTGCCTGCCGTTGATCGTATCTTTACTCTTTGCCTAGATTATATGATCCGATGGTCTCGCGTGTTACAGAGTAGAAGGTCCACTCCTACCTGAAGAAATGTATATAAATCATGATCCAATATTCCGAAACGCCGAATCGTACATGTCATGCATTGCTTTTGGTTTCTTATTTGGCCGCCTCGTGATTTGCATCCTTCTCCTCTTTAGCTCGCCCGTCGTCGCCCTTACGATCCTGCCAGCGAAACCAAGCACTGCGGCCCTTCTCGGTCCCGGAGCCACCGCTGTATTTTGCCTCCAGCTTCTCCCACTGCTCACGCTCTTGGTGTCGGCGTGATTGAAAGGCCCGAACAAATTTCCAAATCTCCGTATCGGCCATATTCCAGGCTTCCAGGGAGGCACGGAGCTTTGTTTCGTCAGTAGACTTGGTCAAGCTGATTACCTTCCTTGCCTGATCGATGAGTGGCTGCTCCGAGGCTCTCTCTTCTGGCGTGACTACTGGACCGTTGTTTTTGCGAGGCTGCTTATTTTCCTTTCCTGGCAACCGGTCCGCCGGAACAGGAGGCTGGGCTTGGCCCAAATCTAGTACTTTCTTGGGGATGGCAAAGCCAAAATACCAGCTCATGTCGGAAGGCATATCCTTTTCAGCTGCAACCCATAGAGAACGAGAAGTGGCATAATCGCCGGCTACTGCTTCTTTCAGGCGCACTAGACGCAGGGTAGTAGTGACACCAGGTCCAAGAAGGGCTTCGGTGACCGTTCTAATCCACGAGTCCCGTGGAGATTCTTGGCGGATCCAGGAGACGTTGAACGATTCTCGCATGTCCTTGAGCAGGGTCAACGTCCAGGGATGAGGGACAGTGCCAATACTGAACACTTTGCTCATGTTATGAAATCGAGTAGGTGTTGTAACTGGCATGGGTGACATGGCAACACACGGTGTACATCTCGGCAGGTTCGGGGGACAAGTTGATGGCATGGGGCTATCTGAGCATGAGGCCAGGTCTCTGGCTAGTTGCAGGGCATTGCTGACCAAGGTGCTCATGTGGTCCGGGAAAGGTTTGATGACTTCGATACCATCGGAAAATCGGTTCTGCCACGCAACATGCAAATGAGTAGTGATTAATTTGTTGAGACTGACAAGCCCGCTGGCACGATGCCTCTTGATCTCGTCCGCAACTTTAGCGTACTTTTTGGCGATGATGGCAGGAGTATACGCAGCAAGTGGCATGGTGGCTTTTTCGACCTTGATAACTTCGTCAGGCACTCCCGAGATGAGGGATTTGACACTTGCTAGCATTTTTGGATCGGCGTTCGTAACCGCCCGTATGGCCGATTTGATTTGGTCCTTGTGGCCGACGAAGAGCGCATCATCCAGATCCTTCCATCGGGTCAAATGGGGATACTCGCCACGACGAAGGAACGCGAGCAGTGAATCCTCCTTCGCAACTGCGGGCAACAACGTGTAGTGGGTCAATATGCCTCCGTCCATGGTGTCCCAGGCCAGCCAACGCATCATGTCTGCCATGAGATCAGGGTCAACGCTGAGTCTCTGAATGAGATCATACGAGGGGTTATTCATGGCCTCGGAAGCGCTGAGGATGACAGGCCGGAAACCTTGCGCCCACCAAGCTCTCCTCCAAGTAAGGAGCAACTCGCTTTCAGCGTCCTTTTCTTCTGTCGTCTTCTTAGCTGTTGCGTCGTAGTAACAGTACACTGGTTGGCGGGGTTTTAATGGAGGAAGCAACGCCCTGTCCTCGTCCACAGTTATGATGCTAGAAAACGGAACTTTAAGCCACTTCCAATCAGACAACCAGGACGACCCTGCATATTCGTCTTTTTCGTTATGCGGAGGCGGATGTGACTTTTGTCGGAACGGGTTGAGGAAGCTCTTGGAAAGCGAGTCACTGATATGCGGCATGTTCGGCACATGAGGGACGGATATCTTGGTGTCATAGGCCGAGAGACTCGGTGATGCTGGTACGCCGGATGTCAGAGTCGATATCAAGGCAATGGCAAATATAGAGAGGCCGAGTAACAAGAAGGTCAGACGCCGAGCTGTGAATGGCGGCACCGGCCGCCCAAATAAGACGTATTGTCTGGGCATTGTAGCAATAAAGGATGATGAGGAATAATTTGTCAGAGAGAGAGTTGCAGTCGGATCACAGATCACAGACTACGGGTCACGGCACGGACGGAAGGATGGTTCGGAAGGACAGTCGATGGAGGCAAGGACGGGAAAGACTAAGCGGCCTGAGCTGTACAGATGTGTTATTGACGCGTCGCCTCAAACCTTGAATGGCTTAAGCGAAAGCAAAAAGGGGGTTTGGAGCTTCCGCAAAAGCCGCCCTCTAGTTGGTCATGGACTGTGGTAGTGTCGGGTTGGAGGCGAAAGCACCAAGCCAAGCGGTGATGGCGCGTAGAGTTGATGAAGCGAGGTGCCTAGTGTCGGCGCAGCTCAGGCCCGTAGCCCACAGTAATAATACTCGGTAGTGAAATGTCAAGTGGGCTGGTGGGGAGGCGGGGAGGCTCCAGGTTTCCAGCTTGAGGCTCTGGGTTGTCCACGACGACCTGCGCCAATTGCCTAAAATAATATCTGCGGACAGCCACTGAGCGGCAGGGAGGGAACCACTTGAGCCCGATGCCCGTGCTACCGTGAGAGATCAATTGCAAGAATGCACTGTGGTATACTTCTAGGTACTAGGTACCTAGGTAGGTAGGCGACTGCCAAGCTTACCTCCGTACTCGTCTCTCCCAAATTGCCCAGAGACGATGCTTCCTTCCTTAAGTAAGGTACCCAATACCTGAACTTGGCACGCAAGTCGGGTCTGGTTCTTCGGTAGGTACCAGTTGACATTTGTCTACCCACTGTACCTGAGTCGGTGCTCAAGTATAAGCACAACCATGGTTGCCTAACAGTCCAAATTCGTCGACGAACCTCAAGGCTGCTTTCCCAACTTCAACTGTCACTGATCTTGATTTGGCTATCGACACATTTCCCCCATCTCCGTCATCATTGGACTCTACAGCCTTCGGAATTCGCATTCCCCACAGCTAAGCAGCGCAACTGGAGCGATCAACACCTTCGTTGCCACGCGCCGTTGTCATGTTGAAGGCGGGATAGCCTTGTGACTTCCCTTCACGCATCGCCATTTGCCTACCAATTCAACCAGACCATTGGTCGACTCTGTTTGCGGTTTTGCCGAACTTGTGGTTGCAAACTGCGTATCAATAGGCGGCCTTGTTACAAGACAAGATTATCTTATCTACTAGGCATTTTACCAACTAATATCTAACCTTCTCTCTGTTCCCTTCTCATGTTTCCCATCATAGCTCCCACGTCCAGTTTCCAGTTTCTTTTTTCTGGAGCCGAATATGAGTTCTAGCGCAAGAGCCTTCCTGGCAGATTTGGCCAAAGCCAGAGAAACACAATATGACAGCATATCCAGAATTCGACGAGGCGACTCCGACGGCGAAGTATCTTTCTTGTATTCTAATGACTCCTTGGAAGAGCCCTTGGAGATACAGATACTCTCAATGGGTGTGTCTCTGACATCTTTTATCAATATTAGACCGAGAGACGGGATCATTATTTTCTTAACGCTAATGGCTTACAGATGTGACTTCTTATCCAGACGATTCGTGCTTCATGATATTTACCTCGTCAGAGACTTGCGACACCAAAGTTCCCTCCCTTCTCGAGCTCATGGCAACCTCAACTAGAGGATCAAGGTTGCATGAAGCCATTCAGACTGTGTCAGACCAGCTCACAGCCAGCTTTAATGACACGCTCGAATCTGGCTTTGAGAGTAGCGCCTCTTCAGATCATGACATGCCTGATGATGGATTTTACGACCCTTTTGAGATGAATTATGAAGAACCTTTCCCTCAAGCTGAGAAAAGCCGATCCGATGGTACGTGCCAAGACGTATGCGGTCGGCTTTTTGAGAACGAGGAACTACAGAGACTCTGCAAAGACTTGAAATCGGCTCAGGGAGCTGGGTTAACGGTTGGAATTTTTCCAAATCCTGCCCATTGCCCATTGGAGATAATATCATTGTCTATCAGGATTTCCAAACTAGGTATTACGTCGGAAACGATGAGTGCTTGGGACATCAAAGCGTCGGATTATATCGTATTACTTATTCGACTTCCAAGCGGCTATCCGAGTATAGAAACATTGCTTCATTCACCTCGGACACATCCCGTCGTTCAATTCAGATTCGGAAGATGCTCATCAGCCAAGCCATCTATTGAGTCAGTGAGATTGGCCTTTCAATATAGTCCGGCTGCAACTGTGAATCTCGACGACCCAGATAGCACACTTTCAGCATTCTCCTCTGTCTGTATGTCTAATTCAATCGATATGCTTTTCAATAAGTCATTTGTTAGTTTGTTAAGATTTCGAAGAGTGTACAGACATACTTGGGACGAAGCGCAGGCGACCATGCACAAATATGTCGGACGCATCCAGTCTAAGATTGCGATAGAGAACGAAGTGGGCTTAACGGGTGCGGACCACAAGATTCCAATCTCAACACATGCTCCTTCAAGTCTGCAACACGACTATGCTCTAGATGACGAAGCCAGCATCAGCTTCCCACTCGTTGCAATGCAGTTTGCGCTTCGTCGGTTCTGCAAGTGCACAGAATATTGCATAGTGTGCCATCTCAAACTTCAAACTGACTTTGTACCACTCAAACCCTATGTCTGTACAGAGGACCTATGCTTGTATCAGTACCTGGCTCTGGGTCTCGGACCAAATATTGAACACGAGGTCATAAGTAGCCCCTATGTAGTTGACCTTCTGATCAGCTTCTTCTATATTGGAGAGACTCAAAGAAGTATCCGAGAATTTCCGTGTGGGTTGGCCTTGAGGGCGCCCGTTATCCAGCAATCGGCGCCACACCTTGAGATCGAGACATGTGTTCAGTCTCAACAATTTCGAATTATACGGGCCAGGAATGAACCAGCGGGCATCAATATACGAAAAAGAATATTACGTAATGGAGATTGGTTTGCAATGCTTATCAATAAGGCGGGATGTAAGTCTAATGATCCTTGGAGCTATGAACCACTATCACCGTCCTGAGCTTCAGGTGTAATATCCTCCGTGTAGGGAGTACCTATGTTATTTGTGCTGATAATTACACAGCCATTGAGAAACATACATGTTATGTTTCAGAAACTCCCGAGGATGGCCTTTATATGTTCGAAGCAACCAACTCCACCATTTGGCCTGATAACCAGGTTGAGTTTGAGATCTCAGCACTGACTCCTAGCGGTGCTGCCCCCTCCAAAAAAGATTTCTGGCAGTCAGGGTCCATATTTCCGTACGAACATGACGTTGACGGTCTTGATGCTGACCGACGCGCCAATGCAGTAACGGAGTTGCTTGATAACCTCCCCTCCGTGTTACAAATGAGAGGTTATCTATTGGATGAACCTGGCCGAATGCTATCCTCTTGGAAACGAATAAACGCCTCTGCACTGTCTCTTATGCGTTGGATCGTCGCTTCAAACACTTCTTACATCGTCCAAGACGGCCCTGTGCCGTCCAAAGACCCTGCAGCTCACTCTCGTGATCAAAATCCGCCAATGGCGGCTATGACGACGGCAACTTCAAATCTAATTCGTACTCAGAGAATGGCTGGATGCAGTTCCGTTTTGCGCAGGGATCTCCAGAAAAAGAGTATGCGTTTCTGAAGACTCTGCAGGAGATGAAGAGTGAAAATCAGTCAACGGTCAAGCCACCGAGCCTCTTCGTCTGGCATGGTAGCCCGATTTATAATTGGCATAGCATAATCCGCACAGGACTGGACTTCCAGCAAATCCGACATGGGAGGACCTATGGCAATGGGGTTCATTTCAGCAGACATATGCGAGTGAGCAAGGGATATTCAAACAAACCAGTCTTTTGTACAAAAGCCGTACGTTTAAAACCCTCAAAAGGCCCCAATTTTTAGCTTTTCATCCTTTCTTTGAACTGTAACAGAGCTAATGATGGATGAAACTCCCGCTAGCCTTTTCGTCACTGTTGGATGGGTTCAGATCTTAGGATCTCGCTGGCTTTAAGTATATGCGAAATTGTCAACAAGCCTGAAGAATTTGTTTCCTCTCATCCCAACTTCGTTGTTGACAAGACAGAATGGATACAATGTCGATATCTTTTGGTACAGACTGATCCCACCGAGAATGCGCTCAATAATCCCCTTTTTGCCCCATCTGGGCCGGAATGCACTGGCTATATTCAACAAGACTCGGAACACTGCATTATGGATGAATACAATATGGAGCCCTTGCAGATTCCACTGAGTGCTCTTTCCATTACCAGGCAGCAAGAGGCTCTGGGTCCGACGCTGGGCAACACGGCATCGAACGATTCCTTCGTGGCTGTCACAGATAACATGAATGATGAATCATGTGACAGCGACAGCGGAGATGATCCGGATATTTTGGTCGATGATATCTTGAAGCCGTACAGAGCACATGAGAGTCGGAAACGTCAACGTAGTACATCATCTGAGCAGAGTTCCTATGGCCAGGCTTCATTGCCATCACCTTGTAAGGGTCCAAAACGGAGTGAAATTGGCGAAACAAACACTCGTTCTGCCCAGAATATGACTGTGCTCTTCTCCGATCACCCAATATTTGGAACGGGCTTATTGGACCATAAGACCCTTCCTCAACTTCCACCTCCCAGTTGGGCAACATCCTCGCCTATGGCCCTCCAGACTCTGACCAGAGAGTTGAAACAGGTTCATACTATTCAATCACAGAATCATGCCGCATCACTAGGCTGGTCTGTCGACACGTCAGCCATTGACAATCTCTTCCAGTGGATCGTTCAGTTTCACTCTTTTGAATCGGGTCTTCCTCTTGCCATGGACATGGAATCGAGGGGAATAAAAAGTATTGTCTTAGAAGTTCGCTTCGGTTCCAACTTTCCTATGAGTCCACCGTTCGTGAGAATTATTCGACCTCGCTTCTTGCCGTTTCTAGAAGGGGGCGGTGGTCACGTCACGGCGGGAGGAGCGATTTGCTCTGAGATGTTGACCAACTCAGGCTGGTCTCCGGCCATGAGCATGGAGATGGTGTTTCTACAAATTCGCCTGGGCCTTTGCGATATAAAGCGTCCAGCAAGGCTGGACACATGGCAAAGGGGTGACAATGACTATGGTATTGCAGAGGCTGTAGCAGCCTATATAAGAGCAGCTGTAAACCACGGATGGGATGTACCCGAGGATCTAGAAAATATTCATGCCGAGTGGGGGATGCCTCCAGCTAGCTGATCACGTTGGCAATTCACAAGAGACAAGATGAAGAACGACGCGGAATCAACCTGACCAGTTTTGGGAAGAGAACCATCAAGTCTGACGTTGGATCACACTACAGATTTTCAGGTAATTAGCGAAAATTTTGTTCTGAAACAGGGCTGAAGCATCACGACAAAAGAGGAAGAGTATTGTAGAAGGTAGGAAGTAGGATGGCGACTCTCCCTGCATGTGCAAGAAGGAGTAGTACACAGCGCACACACATCCTAGATGTAGACAGAATAGCATGATACAACATACAAGACTGAAAGACCAAAGCCCACGGGGAAGATGCCATGTATCGGAACAGTGTGCTGTTTCCTACGATGTCTTCCACTCGCATGTACAAACACAAGATCTGACTCGGAAAGAGACGACAATACTTGTGTAATGCATAAAGCCTTGATGCTCCGCATATACACATATACACATATATTATATATCTATAGAAAACTTACATCGTGAAAGTCTATTCGTCATAATACATTAACGGCCGCACAGCACTCGCACACCACGCGACCGGATCTAATACGCCCATTTTCTTTTTGATCGTAATACTCAAAAAGCCAGCATGAGGGCTCATCTAAAAGTACCCCAGATCTACGGTTTATCAATCCATTCACTTCTAGATAGACTGACGATGAAAAAGGGAAAGCAGACAAAGTGAAAGAGATAAAGACGAGTTCCGATGAAGGAATAATAGTCTTGTCTCTGGAGCTGACAGAAAACAGTCCAAGGCACAGCTGCTTCTGTGCTGCTTCTGTGCTGGTTCTCGGGGCTGATAGGGCCGCAGCAATTGCAACAAATGAAATGGAGCAAAACACGAGCAACACAGATTTAAGCTGCTAGCTTGTTTTTTTCTGGTTAAAATAAGCCTGCCGCCTCATCCTACTCGATTCAACTCAACTCATGATATAGTTTTCTACCGCGAGCCCAAACTCCCCTCTTCGTGCGGGCTGCGGGGCGTGCCAGTCGGAACGCCAAATGTGTGCTTAAAAAGAACGCATAATAAGGGAAGGCACCAAAATATGAATATCAACCACCGTAAAACTCCAGGGTTCCAACGATTTTTCGTTTTCAATGGGGTGTCGCGTGGAAACGCACTCAAAGATACTGCGCATAACTTTACCCAGGTTCCGCAGAACTGTAGTCAGGACAGCCGGGGAAAAAAAAGCAAGGAGATCTAGATCGTTGTGTGCGCCTGTCAATAAGGGATGTTGTTCTCGAGGGCGAGAGAAACGTCACAATATCGTCAGCAATGCAAATTTCCCAAAAAACGATTAGTCGTACTGGAAAAGCCTGCTGATGGATTCGCCGTGGTGAACTCGGCGAATAGCTTCAGCAAAGATGGGAGAAACGTCCAGTACCTCCAGCTTGGGGCACAGACGACGATGCTCGTCCTGGGGAACCGAATTGGTCACAATGATTTTGTCAATGGCAGATGCATTAAGACGGGGGATTGCGTCACCACTGAAGACACCGTGGGTAAGCAAAGCATAGACTTTGATTGCTCCCTCCTTCTTTAGGAGCTTCGCAGCTCGTGTGATGGTGTTGGCAGTGTCTCCCAAGTCGTCAACCAAGATGCAAACGCGGTTGGCAATATCGCCAACGAGCATCATGCTAGCGTTTCGCTGTTCGGTAAACTTAATAGGGCGGCGTTCCTGAAAGTGGGATGAGTAGTGAACAAATCAGAGGTAGTTGAGAGTTTATGTTACCTTGTGAATGAGGGCAAAGTCCATTTTGAGGCTGTCAGCGATCGCAGTAGCTCGCTTCGCCCCACCAGCATCCGGAGACACAATAACGGCTTCCCTATAGCCGGGAATGTGCTTCTGGATGTAATTCTGAATGAGCGGCTTGCCGTAGAGGTTGTCCACAGGAATGTCAAAAAAGCCCTGGTATTGAGGATCGTGCAGATCCATGGTGATGATGTGGTCAGCGCCGGCACAAGTAAGCAAGTCGGCAACTAGAGTACCGGCCTGGGCCACCCACTGCTTATAGCCAGGCTTGGCCTTGAAGGTGGCAGCAACACTGTTAGGGTTCTCATAATCATGGGTGGTGAAGCTCCGTTGAGATGAGGTGGAATTCTCGGCTGCATGTCCGCGACCATTGGAGCCAATACTGGACAGGGTATCTGACCTCTTGGGCAAGCAATCTGTGTCGTTGGTCTCTGCAATAGTCGTCTTTTGAAGTCTTTCGGAAAGGCTGGAGGCACCGTTCAGGCCATGGCTACGAGGGCCACCAGGGCGAGGTGTGGCCGGCACACTCTCAAAGGTGTAGTCTTTTTTGGATGTCTCGGAGGACTTGGACAGTGGCGCACCAGCTTTGTTGTAAGGCCAATCGGGCTGTCTCGAGTAGGGAAAGAGAGGGACGACTGCGGTGACGCGTTTTGCAGATCCGGTCTTGCATGCGGAGATCATGATGCAGAGGTCGATGAGGTTGTCGTTTACATGGCCAGAGCCAGACTGAATGATGTAGACATCCTTACCACGGACGGAATCCTTGATTTCGCAGCGGCTTTCACCACCAGAAAATTTGCTCAGGATGCGATCGCATGAAGGGATGCCGAGGATGTTGGAGACATTCTCCGTCAGATGGGGATGCGAGTTGCCGCCGAGCAAAACGATGTTGCGGACCATGGCCGTATAGTTCGAAACTGGCGGGGAGAGGCGTCAAACACCAATTGGACGGAAAAACAGGGCAAATTGAGCCAGCCCGAAAGGCGCAACGACAGGCCGCTGACTGAGGCAATGAAGACGTCGATGGCCTCGCAAACGAGACGGCAACAAGCGCAAATCGAAATCGATGTCGACGTCGTCGGGTTTTTTTTTTTTTTTTTCTTCCTTCCCTAGTTTCCCCGCTACAACCCTGTTCGGCAATGAGTGGGGGAGGAGCGCTGTGTTGGCAGGCGCAGGCTGGGAGCTGCAAAAAATGCAGGAGCACTAGTCGCCTATGTAGCACTTGCAGCCGACGTCCCAGGTCAGAGGCTCTGCCGAGGGCTCTAGCTTCTGGGCCGATTCCGGCGACAGGCAGCAGGCAAGTTGCAGGGGCGGCAGGAGCGACCTGCAGCTCTAGGTGAGGCAGGCAAAACACACAGGAAGCGGACGCGAGAAAAGAAATCAAAACAAAATGAGAATTCGGGCTCTTTGTTAAAGCAGCATGTTGGTGGGCGAGCGGGACCAGAGGATGGATAAAGACAAAATACGGAGTAGAGAAGAGGAACTCGCCGTCGCCAGGCGAGAGAAATGGGGACGAGTCGTCTTGTGACGGACGGGGCCGGGGAGACTAGGTTTTCAGAGGTGGGATCTGGGCTCGGCGCTGACTCAAGGCGAGGTCAAGAATTCATTAAACAGTCTGATTCGATGCTGCATCTGACAGAACTCGGCGGCAGAGGGCTGCCATGTCGCAAAATGGCTCACATCCATACAGATTGACATGTCGAATCAAGACCGGCAACTGTTGGTTGTCGTCGGTACAAATCATCACGCTGTGTACGGCACGGACCACATGGTAGCCATGCATGTGGCGGCGATGTGCAGTGGGCGATTGATGTGCTTGCGTACAAAGTGCAGGCCATTGACAGCTAGCTCATGGTCCCACGGATTTTGCGAGCCTTTGCACCTTGTGTGAGATTCTCTGCAGACAGCCTCTATGGCGGCTCCGGCGGTACATAAAACACCAGACCAGATCAGACGGAGGCTGTGACAAGCTCCTTGATACTTGCAGAACTGCAGTGGCACACAAAGGCTGGCGTTGAAGTGCCAATGGTACAGAATACTAGTAGTAGTGTTGGTAGTTGCCCCCCAGCCCCAGCACCCAGCACACACCACACACGCACAGGTGCATCGTGGCGGCGGCTCTTCAATTTGCTTGGTGCCGACTTCGTAAGCTAGGTCCAGCACCCAGCATTTTCTCACCCACCCGTCCAATTAATACACCACGCAGTAGGTAGCTTGGTTTACTCGACGGTGAATTGCTCAGCTGGTGCCTGGACACTCCGGCCTTACGTTGCCCCATCAAATGGACTTCTCGTCCCCGACCAGTGTCTCGAAGCCTTGAAGCCTTCAATGTTGCAGCCTGCTTGCTGATTGGCCGCTGGGCCGCTCTGGTGCATGAACCCATAGAAAAAGTTGGCTGTCACTCTCAGCGTAGTTTCGACGTCTCAAAATCAACTTCATCTTGACTGGCTAGCTTATTTGTCAAACTTGCCACCAATTGTTGTCCGGTCCGACACCTTGCATACTTTCTGGTATAGAACAGAACATTTTGACCTTTTTTTTTGTCCCCGACTTGCTTTAGGGTGCACTCCCCTCGACTTATCCCCTCATCTGCATATTCACACCGCACCGTCATAAAAAATTTGCCAAGGCTTCATTCTAATCCTGTTCGCCATTGGCCATGAAGATCCTTGAGTCCCAATCAGCCGTTCTATCCAACTATGAGGTCTACCAGCACCTCACTGATCAACGTGACCGCTATAAGCAGAAGAAGCACCGCGGGCCCCCAAACCTCGAGACAGTTGTTCGAGAGGTAGGTTGCATGACCTCATCACACATAGATTCTAATTTCAAACTGAGGAGACCCCCCTGAAAGGGAAAAAAACTGACAACCCCCCTTGCACTTGTAGATGCTGCAGTACTTGCAGACTGCCCCCAGTCCTTTGAGTCAGAAGCCCCTCACCTACACCCCGGAGGCTATTACCCAGATCATTGAGAAATTAAGTCCGTATGAGCTGTCAAAGGGCGAGATGGTCATGATTCTAAACCTCCGGCCGGCATCCATTGCTGCTCTCAACACCATTATTGAGGACATGCCCGAGCGTTACTCGGATGAGCAACAAGAAGAAATTGTTGGCATTGTCGCCGACGTTCTCGGTCAGTTCGAGGTAGCTGAGGCTGAAGAAAACGGAGACGCGGGCGAGGGCGAGGATGTGAATATGAATGATGCTGAAGCTTCATGAATGACGGGATTCTCGCTTGTTCGATTGCAATTCCTCGGCAGCCAGAAGTCGAACAGAGTATTCCTACAACCCGTCTTACCTTCTATTGATGGAGAAGTGGTGTCACGACCTGGACAGTTAGCCCTTCACATGACTATACAGCCCCCCTCGCTCTGCCCTCCAGCTGCAGTGGTAGTCTGGGTGGCTGTCTTGCAGATGTCCTCAAAGGCAGGCTTGAGGAGCTCCCCCGTCGCAGCCGAGCATTCGACATATCGATCTGCCCTCATGGTTTGTGCCAGCTGATACGCTTCCTGCGGACAAATAATGCCATTGGGATCGTTTTCAGACCTGAGGTCTCTCTTCAAACCAAGAATGATGATGGGCAAAGCATCGGCTCGTTTGAACGTCCTCTTAACCTCGTCGATCCACTGTCAGCACAGGTCAGCAGGTGCTTGTCCTTGAGTGCTGTCAAGGACAAGGTGAGGTTGAGATAACAGACATATCGCTTCATGTTTATGAGACTTAGTCGTTGGCTGATATCGTAGCATATAACAATTACATCCGGATCAAGAAGCCTCCAGTTGTCCGGGCTAGAGGTGTCAGAAAATTCGAGACGAAACCTCTTCTCTCCAAGGTTTATATTGAATAAGAATGGCTGGTCAATGTCTCGAAGGATTGGTATCGGGTTTGTGCCTTCTCCAGCGCTCAGTCTGCTGTATCGGGCGGTCAGTAGGCAAACAATCGCATCCGGGCTAGCCGAGATAGTGTCAATACACACGATAAAAAAGTCGTCTTGCCACATTTCTCGTCTCCAACAAGTAATAACCTCACAGTTTCGGGGTCCATTGTGCCCTGGGTTGATCGTAACAACCTTATCAGTTTTGCAAGGGCACGGGAAAAAGAAGCTTGTATGAAGTGGTGGCTGCCAGAATGACATGCCAGGACCAAATGTGGCTTGTGTGGTTGGGTTGGCTGCCATTGCTCCTCCAAGCCACCACACGACACTAGCCACAGTGTTCCACCGAAATTTTGATACCCGTCCGTCAACTTACTATGGCCAGTCATGCAGAATACAGAAAGCCCTGAATTGAAAATGGTGTCATAAAGGCTGCATCACATTTACATGCAGCCGGTCCGCGGTTCTATAGGGCGCAGAGTTTCTGTTAGAGCCGTCTCTAGAGCCTGTAGACCCATATACTGTCAGCCCTGTCATCGCAGCTCGACATTTCAAAAGCCTGAGCAAACCGACCAACGTCCAAGGGTTCGAAAGGTTAATCCTCACGGCAACATGTCTGGCGAAACAAACTACAACAGTTGGACCAAATCCGGTCTTATTCAACGATTGAAGGAACTCGAGAGTGAACTGAAAAAACGGCCTGAAGCTTCCAAAGCTGTTTCTGCCCCTGGAGATGAACCTCAAGGTGCCATGGCTGCTACAGTGTCCGATGACATGCCAGGCCCTGCCAAAAAGACAAAAGCACCAAAGGCAAAACGGAGGATGGATCATTCAAGATATTCGACAAGATTCATTGCGTTGAAGTTGGCATATCTGGGCAAAAATTACGGTGGATTCGAGTTTCAGGCCATGGGGAATCAGCCCTCTATCGAGGAGGAGCTGTGGAACGCTCTCACAAGGGCATGCCTCATCTTCCCCGAGGACGAGAGGATCGTCCAATTCAACTGCTGCGAATACTCAAAGTGCGGCAGGACGGACCGTGGAGTCAGTGCTTTTGGACAAGTCATTGGGCTGAAGGTGCGCAGCAACAGGCCACTTCCTAAGAACGGGTCCAAGACCGATGTCGCTGCTGCTGAAGACATCGCCATGGCCGAGGCAGGCCCCCAAGGAGGAAAGCAGGCTGAAGAAGATGTGGAAGTGCAAGAAGAAGAGAAGCCATTCGACGATATCCACGACGAACTTTGCTACCCACGGATCCTGAACAGATTGTTGCCAGATGACATTCGCATCCTAGCATGGTGCCCATCACCACCGCCCGACTTCTCCGCCCGCTTCTCCTGCCGCGAGCGCCAGTACCGCTATTTCTTCACGCAGCCTGCTTTTGCACCAGATCCCGCGAGCCTAGATTTGTCAGGGGCCAGCAAACCTCTCAAAGCGGGCTGGCTTGACATTGACGCCATGCGCGACGCTGCCAAGCGCTACGAAGGCGAGCATGACTTCCGCAACTTTTGCAAAATCGACCCCGCAAAACAAATCACCAATTTCCGCCGACGAATCTTTGAATCAGACATTGTCGAAGTGCAGGATGCTAGCTCGGTAATGCCGTACCTCCAAACCTCAGGATTCTCGCCTCCCGGGCTCCAAGGTTCCGGACCATACCCCAAGGTGTATTACTTTCACGTTCGAGGATCTGCGTTCCTGTGGCACCAGATCCGCCACATGGTAGCCATTTTATTTCTCGTCGGTCAAGGTCTTGAATCACCGACAGTGGTCTCCGAACTACTTGATACAGCCAAGAACCCTGGCCGACCTAGCTACGTCATGGCGGACGAGGTGCCTCTCGTCCTGTGGGACTGCATCTTCCCAGACCTCTCTGAGACGGACTATACGGCGGCAGACGCACCCAGCAAGAGAGAGGACTGCATGAAGTGGATCTACGTGGGCGAGGAGTATTCCTCGAATAAATTTGGGCAGTTTGGCGTCATGGACAGCTTGTGGCAAACATGGAGAGGCCACAAAATGGACGAGCTGCTTTCATCACAGCTGCTGCAGCTCGTATCCGGCCAAGGGAAGACGCAGGACGTGGCGGAGGGTACGCAGAGCAATCACAGGGCGAATGCAAGTGCGCGAGTATTTGAAGGCGCAAATAGCGGACGCCTGGGTGGCAGGTATGTGCCCGTGATGAAGAGGGAAGTGCTACAGTCGCCAGAGGAGCAGAACGACCGGTATGCCAAGAGGAAAGGGTATGCAGATGCAGAAGATATGCGTGCGCAAAAGGGATTGCGTAGAAAAGAGGACGATGAATAGAAGAAATCATCTACATCTAGCACACATATATATATATACATATATAAGCTGGAGTTTCAAGGCTCCAATACGTCAAAATAACCCACTTTTGAAAAAAAAAAGAACATTTGAGTTCTAGCAACATAAAAAAAGGGGGCGTCCTCATTCGTTCATCTACTCTACATCCCTTTTCGGAGCCTCGTACAAACACTCCCTCGCACCCCTCCAGACCGTCTCGACAATCTTCCTCTTGGGCAACAGCCCCGGGAAAACAATCACGACATCCTCCTCCCCTTCCACCACCACAACAAGATAGTACCTCACTTCGAACCCTATGAACGCCTCGTTCACGAAGATGTCCTGAATCTTCTCCGTGGGAATGAACCGCGTCGCCGGGCTAGCGAGATACGTCGACGGCGATTCTGTCGTCTGTACGCCCAGCCCCCGCAGCACGAGGAGGCTCTCATGCGAGTGTAGCCGCAGACTGAGCATGTACAAGGCCACAATTGCCCCGGGGAGCAACAAGCCCAGCGGAATGGAGGCGGCGACTCTCGCCAACGACTGTCCCGTGGACGAGCGCGTGTAGCTATCGAGAACAAACCATATTCCCTGCAAGGAGAGCAAGGACGGCGGCCGGGCGGCGGCGGAAGATTGCGAGGCGGCAAGGGGACAGGAGGACCAGCGGCCGTAAAGCAGGAGCGCGGTCGTGAGCGTGAGGAGGATGCGGGCCAGGAGGAGGAGCAGGCGGAGGATACGCAGGGAGAGCGTGCGAGGAGGCAGCGTCGTGACGGTGAATTCGGCGGTGGGGGGGGGTGGGCGGCGGACGCGCAGGCGCGGCGGGGGGGGTT